TAGGCTTGGGCAACCTGGCAGTATCCCAGCCCTCGTGCTTCCTTCGGGTGGCATGGCAGCTAGGCACCGGAAGGGTGCTACAGCTGAACGCTAGATTCACCTCAAGATAAAAGTAAAAAGGTCTTTGGAAGGGATTAAGCTTCTGGAATTTTCGCAACTCTGCTTATTTTCGAACGCGCCTTTCGCTCACACTGACTGTGAGTGCTGCTCTCTTCAATCTCGCGCACCCACCTTCCAGTCGAAGTAAACAAAATCAGCGAATTAGTGCTAAGTTTTTTTATGCTCACGTGCTTCACACTGACATATTTAATAGTTTAATAGAATGAAAAACAGAGAAATTCAGTGTTTGATGCATCTCACACGATCTATATCCGGATTCTTTTCTGCTACATGGAGATTTCTAACTTATTGAACTTGAACACTCGATATTCAAAGGAGTGAAATCCTGCAATATGTACTGACACGGCGCATGCACCAAGATTCAAACCTCGTGGACACCGAAACTCAGCTCGTGGCTTCCCTGAAACAGGAATGTAGAGGCGAGTCAAACGCACTCACTCACTCACTCACTCACTCACTCACACACTCACTCACTCACTCACTCACTCACTCAGTCAGTCAGTCAGTCAGTCAGTCAGTCAGTCAGTTAGTCAGTCAGTCACTCACTCACTCACTCATTCACTCGCTTACTCACCCGGGACGGAGGGAAAAGAGACGGCACCAAAGGGTGATCCTCTGCTTTCTTCGAGCCCATTTTTGACTTGTTGTTTTCAAGTCAGCTGATCAGAGTAATATGCTCGTGACTTCTCGGATTGATTTAAGCTGTGATTTATCGTTTGATAGGTAACAGTAAAACCACAAGTCATATTTTGTGGGGCTAAGCGGACTTCAGAATCCAGCAAATCGATACGCGGCTTTGCAGCACGTGAACATGTCCCAAGTCGCAGGTGATGCTGCCAAATGTAACAAATGTGAAGCGGAACAATAAATCCATCCGACCACACTGTGGTGACGATCCCTGTGGAGGGTAGAATGTGTGTGAGCATGTGAAAGGATTTCAACGCTGTCCTAGTTATTTAGTTTTTTCCTCGTTACTTTGATCCACTGAATTTGCCATGTTTCGCATACATTGTCTTCATTCAGGTAGGTGAGAACATTAAAAATCCAAGTGTCCGGAATCTGAACCCAAACCGGGGTTGAAAAGGTTCATTAGTTTGCTGTCATATTCAATCTTGTTAATCACAGAAAACAACAAAATCTCAGGTACTCAACGCGAAATATTGATCCACAATCGATCAATGTTTACCACCACATGGTAAGAAATGTTTTCTTCACTTATCAAGCCACTTATAACTTTGCTGAAATCTCTTCGACAGCTCACCATCTGCTTCACAATCCTTCGGGCTCATGATGTTGGGGTAGCTCACGAATTTCCATCAACTTCATGTTCTACTGAAACACCAAACTGTACGCAAAATTTATTTGCGAACTAAGTTAGTGGTAACGGGCAATTCGGCAGAATTTCTCATTCATGATGTTCCTTAACTGATTTACTTACT